TTAAATACCTATATTTATTGGCACAACTCTCCGTTAAATCCTATATTTATTTGGTCACAACTACTCCGTTAATACCTATATTTATTGGTCTACAACTCTCCGTTAAATCCTATATTTATTGGTCACAACTCTCCATTAAATCCTATATTTATTGGCACAACTCTCCATTAAATCCTATATTTATTGGCACAACTCTCCATTAAATCCTATATTTATTGGCACAAATCTCCATTAAATCCTATATTTCTAACCGTAAAATCCTAACTCACTGTCGCTATGTATATAACTTTGTTTTAGTATTATGTAGTTCTTTACACTGCAAAATCTTACAAGCAACAACAATGTTTTTCAAAGAAAATTATTTCAGTTGATTTTAAATGAAGAATAGAATTGTCGAATTATTTTATTTTGCTTACTTACCTATTTGTAACTTTACTGTCTTACAGCCCGACGGATGTATTAGCTAGGTTTTCATCCATCGTGTACATCAAACCTTACTGCAGAGCTGGACCGTACTTGGTGGGCATGGCATTGGGATACATATTATTTAAGTTTCCAAGTGATGTTGTATTAAAAAAGGTAAAAAAATAAGCATAGAACTAAAAGTAAAGGACAAAGAGCTTTAGAGTGTATACCAATGTTACTTCTTTAGTTAGTCGTATAATGTTAAATATTAAAACTTTCTTTGTGAGACTAAATAAGAAAATTAGGGTTTCATAAATATACTTATGTTTGTCACACTTGAAGCTGTATTTATTTTACATTTATTTTTTATAGTTGGATCCTCGTAAGTATTTATAGGTTAGACCTTGTTTCTAATTTCCTGTAAGTTAGAAACGAATTAATTTGTTTTCCAAGTAAGAAGGCTTTGTCTGCTAAGGTAAAGGGTGCATAGGTAACAAACATATTAATTTGTTCTCTAAGTAAGAAGGCTTTGTCTGCTAAGGTAAAGGGTGCATAGGTAACAAACATATTAATTTGTTCTCTAAGTAAGAAGGCTTTGTCTGCTAAGGTAAAGGGTGCATAGGTAACAAACATATTAATTTGTTCTCTAAGTAAGAAGGCTTTGTCTGTTAAGGTAAAGGGTTCATAGGTAACAAACACATTTTTCAACTGAGGACGACTTAGATTTCGGTTGAAATTTGTGTTTAGAAAATTGCGGATGATTGTGTCGAAAATGTGTGGAGGAAACCTGTTTATTGTCAAAGTACCTTTCAAGAAAGAATTCTCCGCGTTTAGATTAAACTATCTATAACAAATGCTGAATGTTCTAGTATTGATATAATCTCCCTTTTTCACTAATTCACCATTAGACGAAACAGTTAAAATCTGCTTCTCTCAGGTTTTTTTTTCGAACATTAACAGAGTTAACGGTTTCGGTAAATCACAACTCTGACAACCGCTCACTCTTGCTACAAAATAAGTCTATATATTTTTGTTTAATAATAAACTGTACGACAAGACAGATAGCGGTGCAATGCCTCCAGCTAACGCCCCAATCTAAGGGTCGCGGGTTCGAATTCCCGTCCCACCAAACATGTTCGCCCTTTCAACCGTGGGGGCGTTATAATGTGACGGCCAGTCCCACTATTCGTTGGTAAAGAGTAGTCCAAGAGTTGGCGGTGGGTGGTGATAATTAGCTGCCTTTTCTCTAGTATTTCACTGCTAAATTAAGGATGGCTAGCGCAGATAACCCTCGTGTAGCTTTGCGCGAAATTCATACCAAACATTTGTAATTCAAACCGCTAGCGTCCACGTTCGCCAACGCCCTCTTGTGTTCTGGGCGTAGAAAAAGGGTTCCACGAGTTGTATGCCTCTTCTATACAACAGTTATGTTGACGATACTTGCATTGTTTCCCATTGCAAAAAAGAGATCTGAAAAATTTTAAAACTGTTTAGACACGAAACTCAAATACACATTTTAAAGTCGAAATAAAATAAAATAATTCCTTAATTTAAGTTACTATATGGTGAAGTAAAACGGCTTCAAACCCCCATAGATATTATATACACTTCACCATTATAAGAGGCCTAATGGTATTTCTTTGATTTACTGACCCAAGCTGTGCCGATGAGCCTTGAATAGGCGAAACTGTAGTCCACAGCAGAGGGTACGGCTAATCAAGGAATGCATTAGGCCTCTGTCATAAATTCTCTTTTCAATTTCACTTGTTGTGAAAAAGGAAAAATCTTTAACATATATGTATGTGTGTGTTTGTGTATGTTTATATATATATATATATATATATACATACACAAAATAACTCTTTATTCTTTCTTAACATCCTAGTGACGAGTTACCCTAACAACCTCTGTATCACGGAAACAAACGTTTAATGGTCTATTCACTCTGTTCAACAGCTTCATTCCAAGTCGCTACAAACTGAATATTTTCTTAATAAAGCCTTCAATATCTGTTCTAACTATCTTAATCTTCATGCGGAAATTTCTTTCTTTAAAGACTCTAATATCAAACTGGTTTTCCCTACACATTTTGGATACAATTGTTCGCAATTTTTTAAACGGTCAATTTTAACTTAATGGGAATCTTATGGGATGTGACTTGATTGTAAAATGTGTGACTATTCCATTTCTTTAACGTTTCAAATATAGTGTCATGTTCGTGAAAACTAGCAAAATACAGTAATTTCAACATAATACGTTTAATGTCAGTCAATAACAAAAAGTCAATGAATATTGGTTTACGTGCCACTGTCGTACTAAGTGTGAAAAAGTCAACAAAGCTTTACAATCTCAATATTATTAATATTTCATTACTCTATATAAATACATCTGTATCTTAATAGGAAGATCCTCTCATTATATTTAAACTTGCTCTTAATATCTTGATTGTTTTCATTTTCTGAAGATGTGTTTGTTCTATTCCACAATCCAGGTCTCCTATAGGGATGAACAACTATGCACATTAACGTGTGTCGGAGAATTTTTTTTTTATGTTGATATAATTTGGACTTCTTTACAATTTTTCAATATTGTACAGAAACGTAATATACGGTAATGGGAATTTTTTTTCGAAATTTAATGAATCAAGTGAAGTAGGTATTGTAAGAAACAATACCTTGCTCCGGAGCTGACTATAAATTTAATGAATCAAGTGAAGTAGGTATTGTAAGAAACAATACCTTGCTCCGGAGCTGACTATAGATTTAATGAATCAAGTGAAGTAGGTATTGTAAGAAACAATACCTTGCTCCGGAGCTGACTATAAATTTAATGAATCAAGTGAAGCAGGTATTGTAAGAAAGAACATCCTGCTATAAATCTGACAACAAATTTAATGAATCAAATAAAGTAGGTCTTGTAAAAAAGGACATCCTGCTCTAGAGCTGACTACAAACTTAATTAATCAAGTGAAGTAGGTCTTGTAAGAAAGAACATCCTGCTCTAGAGCTGACTACAAACTTAATTAATCAAGTGAAGTGGGTCTTGTAAGAAAGAACATCCTGCTCTAGAGCTGACTACAAACTTAATTAATCAAGTGAAGTAGGTCTTGTAAGAAAGAACATCCTGCTTTAGATCTGACTATAAATTTAATGAATCGAGTAAAGTAGGTCTAGTAAGAAAAAAAACATCCTGCTCTAGATCTGACTAAAAATGCACAAGAAATGATATCGATCGAGGCAAGCTTCTGTATCATGTTGGAATTACTATCGCATGTTAATTTTCGTATTTGATACATTGTAAATTTGAAAAAAGGAAATTATTTTGGCATGTACCTAATTAATTATATCCCTCTTCGAATTTCTTTTCAGTATTGAAAGATTATACACTCACCCGCTGAAACTGAAATCAATCGGAAACTGCTAGAATTTCATCTTTTCAGTATGGTCAAGCTACCAAACTAAGTAAAGAATTTAGGTGTTAAAATACAAATAGTTACGAATGAGACAAAGTTTAAAATTTCCAAAGCTTAAGCATTTTCAATCTCGGAAACCTACGAGGTATAACGTGTGAGTAAAGTTCAAGCTTGCAGATATTTGTGATAATTTACATCGAAAATTAATACAACCTATTAATATTTAAATAACGAAGCGTGCCTATAAGTCTATGGCGATTATAAGATTTTAGAAAAATACAAAAAATATTTTATGGAAAAACAGGAACATTTAAAATATATGTAACAAAAATGGCTGATTCCTAGCCCTGTATTTCCTGCTCTAGATCTGACTAAAAATACACAAAAAAGAGAGCATAATGAAATATCTTCATACAGGTTTAAGTATTTCAAAATCAAGTCATATAACTAGACCAACAAAACACAGCCGGTGTTATGCATATCACTAAGCACGGTAGTGCTCACTATGTAAGGATGGGCCAAGAAAAAAATGGCTCTCGCATTCATTCTATTACTTTATGATACTTACAAATAACTGCTAAAGTTGAGTTATAGTCTTAATTGAGCACCTAATTGTCATTATCGAGTATTTCACAGCTTCTATAATAGTAGTAATATTCTGTTTTTCTACCACACGTATTTTTGTGGGGAAATAATAAAAATGAAAACTACTATTAGGTCGTAAAGAAATTAATGTCGTTTATTTTTAGATGAAAAACCAGAACAACTTGTATATCAAAATAAACCATTTATTAAATGAAATGGTCTCCATTCTTATCGATGATGCTTTTATCCATTTTTCATCAACGGTGACAATTCTGTCCAGAAATGGTTCACGCGCATTACGCGCCAGAAGAGACGAAGCAATGTTCACACGTTGGAAACGATGATCATCGGCGAGTTCGTGAAGCACCCAAACACCTTTTTTTCATGGAGTTTTCCCATATTTCTTAGATGTTTACACATTATTTCATGAGAGACGTACAATTTCAGGACCATTTCACGAGTGTGTTGCCCTTAGTTGGACTCAGCAAATGTCTTCAGAGTATCATTATCAATTCCAACATGTCGGCTATCACAGTTTTTAAGGCTAAAGTCACCTGAACGAAATTTTCTGAACCATCGTTGACACTTACGAACGTTCAAAACATTTCCATAAACTCCTTTATATTCCTTGTGGGTACAGAGGCGTTGTTTACCTTCTTGTATTACATGCTGAATGTGTTTTGTCGTGTGTCATAACTATAAGGGATTAGAGTATACTGAACTTTACACATCATATACGCTACACTAACGTGACGTTTTGGCGTTCATTTAACTATTATACGTGATGTACGTTTTTTGGGGGGTGGTTAATGAAAGTGTTCCAAAACGCGAAATTAATTTCTTGACGACTTAATACTTAGCAGCGAGTTCAGTTTATAAATATATATTATTTCCATGTTTCATAAATAACTGTTTCGCTGCTGGTCGCTAGATGGCAGTACAGATTATTCTTATATATCGACCATTTGTGACTTTTCATTGCACAAACATAGTATCTGCCAAAACAGTTTCAGTGCAAATGAATAAAGAACAACCTAAATCAATATTCAAGTATCAATGAGTTCATATATTTATGCAACTGACAGATCTGTGTATATGTTAGTGATATCTGAGTTTAAAAACACTAGTCTTTTAATTATCAAAACAATACATTATATGGCGATCTACTTTTCTTCGAGTTTTCAGTGGGGCCATGCCTGGCAGCTATGTGTAAATGCGTGGTATCATACTTCATGGTCTGGGATATGTATGATGTCTTCCTATTAATCGACATGACTCTAGCATGTGGTGAAGCTTATTGTATGCATCTACAGTGAATTGGAGTGAAGTTGAAAGGCGTGGGTTCTTTTAAATATCCCCTTAACGTCGGTTCCAGAACTACATGGTATTTTACCATTTTTGAGGAACCGTTGGTTCCCAGTGTAATCCGAAATTAGAGAAACTGACAGAATTGATATGAAATTATCAATATATACATATATTACTATTGAATTACTTGCCAACCTACTTCAATAAAATTGTTTTGCTAAATAATATCTGTACGTCACCACTAGGAAAGCTGGTGTCAGTTTCATAATACATACATATTTACTCAAAATAAACGTGATCGGCTAGAAGGTGAGTTAGTGTTTTAATGTAACTAAAAATTCTTAAATAAACTAAACAATAGAAGGAAAAATAAATGAACGGCAGATGAAATCATAATCCAGGAAAAAAAAAAGAATTCTCTATCTCACAATACTAAGACCAGAAGCATTCCAGCTCATATAGTAATTAAATAATAACGTTTAGGGCTGGCTTCAGGTAATTTGCCACCTTAGACAGGGTTTTAAAATGCCATTCCTGGCGGAATCCCTGCATACGTATAACATTATATTAACAAAATGTCGCAACTTCTAGTAAACATTTACTTTAGAAGTCTTATCTTCGTCTTACTTCAAACTCTTTAGATTCAGGAAAACTTGCTTTTTTCTGTCTGAAAGTTGGCTGTGGATGGTATTGACTATTTACATTCCTTTTAGTCTATTTCACTTCTAAATTAGTGGCGGCTAGCGCAGGTAATCTTCTTGTAGCTTTAAGCGAACTTCAATAAACAAACACCAAACATAAGTTTTCCATAAATCATGTTATTTAAAACCTTTTACGTTTCTGTATTTCAAAAATCGATTTTCTTCTATTCTGCAATATTTAAGTAGATGTCATGAAGGAATGATTTCAGTGTAATTAAAAAATTTTACTATATGATGAAGGAAGCGTATAGATTTGAAAATCTCGAAGTTTGTCAAATAATATTTTCATGTATATTAGCAGAACCGCTGCTTATTTGTATGTCTTGATCTAAGTACTGAGTTTGAGTATCAGATAAAACAGAATTTTCTATTACTAATGTTTCAGGATATTCATGGTAATAATATAACTGTTAATGCAAAATTAAGTGTGAAATCTCCGACTGTATTTATTTTTTAGAAAAACTCAAGACTGAAACTTCCGGATTTTAATAAAAAATATTATATCGTTTCCAAAGCTAAACATAAAATTATCTTATACAAAATAAAAACAAACTTAAGGGTGGGCTAAATTTGGAAAGAAGCCGTAATGACCCTCTAGATGTAGGGATTTTGATTAAAAATTCCTATTTTTGAAGCCTTTCTATTATTTGTCTTTTCTTCAGAAATAAAGTACAATCGAAGCTAGCCGGAATATTCGTGACAACTCAACCCTTAAATCTTAAGAATTTTAATGAAAAAAAAGGTTCTATTTTAGAAAGCGTATATCAAGTGCAAATTTACAGTTAAATAACATTTTAAAAAATTTTCAAGAAATTTTGGAAAAATACCAAAGGTGTCGATAGCTTGGGTTATTTTAATAAAAAAATATTTTTTGAAACACGCAAAAAAGTGTTAGATCTTATAGATCATCACTGTGCCTGTATAAAATATTAAATAAACCTGATCCATAGGATGACTAACTTTCAGAAAGTGTAGCTGTATTAAGTAAATAGATTAGTAGTTGTATTAAGTAAATAGATTACACCTACAAAAATACCAATAATCTATACATAAACTTTATGTTCACAAAAAGTATGTGTATGTAAGAGAAATTGATAAGATCTTTTATATTAACAGTTCCAAGAATGTCCAGTCAGTAGCCATGTTAATAAGTGAATCAACCAACGGATTTAATAACTTAGTAAGATCCTCAAAATCACTTGTGAGATGAAAAACTAATTTATGAGATTCAAAATTATATTAACCATAATAAAATCATCCTTTCTAATTCTTCAAGCAATATGTTTCAAAATTTAATTTAAGATTATGTTTAAATATTTCTAAACTGTTTTACCGAACTAGTAAACAAACTTACATAAGGTACCCCTCTTTTTCTCCATTCTCACATGTTCATAGATAGATACATTCGTTTATAAAAATGACTAGAACGAAACCCACAGTGTTTTCCACAAATGCCGTTAGGGGTTTAAAATAGTTAATAATGTTACTGACTATAGAATATATATATATATATATATCATGTGGTAAAGACATAATATTTGATATTTTATCATAAGAATTTTTACTCTAAACTGTTGAATATAGGAAGAAATTATTGTCCAACATTTTTACATTAAAATAATAGGCTCAGTTATCCGAATTCAAATACATCATTAAATTTTATTAAAGATGGTTTTTAACTGTTTTTATACTACAATAAACTTTAAAAAATACTGGAGTGATTTGTTTGTGCAATGTTTTTCTGAGGAATGGACATCTTTATTTTAAGAATTAAACACGAATCAAAATGGCATTACTTTAAAGGTCGCTGGTACGGAGGCTATGTTAAGTTCGTGGTTCTTATTGGTAATCTACTCCTCTGATTTTCTTACAGAAATATGTGGTTCTGGGCTGGTGCCTTGCTGCTACATGTAATATTCTAGTCCTTTACGGAATGTGGCCTGTTTATAGAGGTAACCTTCCCTCTGACTTGTCCTCCGCTATGTATAGCGCTCTCGCACGCACAGCATGGGCTGTTGGGCTGGCCTGGCTGACCTTTGCCTGTAAAGTAGGATATGGGGGTAAGTAGTTGGCTTATCTTTCGCTCGATCTATCGTACTGTGTATAATCTGTTCAGATACAAGAATGTAAAAAATTAAATGCATTTTCTATTTTAAATTGTAATTTTACTAACGTGAACAGAAACATTGTTTATTTCTATATTAGCTAAGAGCTAAAAACATTTTGGAATGAGAAATATTTTGCGTGACTCTAATGTGACAACATTCTGCGTACATGCGCATCTAAGCTCTTAATGTCTATCGTGTGACGTCTTATATGACTATAAATAATATCTACGCTGGGCTTCGCAAAATTTAATTAATACTTACACCAATATTACGTCATTTAACCATATAAGGCTCTCAAGGAACACTCTTCTATTTTTGTATCTTTTGCTTTAGCAAGAGTAATGTTGTTGATTAAAGAAGTTGGCGTGCGTAACAGTATGTTGGTCAGAAGTAACTGTCATTACAACATTTAATTGAGAATAAACACAATATAAACTGTAAAAATGTTTTATCACGCGATTAGAATCTGGTAAAGCTGATTTATGTTTTAAGTGTTATTAAGAAGAAACGTTTCTTTAATTTAGATATTTCTAGTTTTTGCCCACTTATTAAGTGGTTACACGGCACGTACTTTGCCGCTTCCTTATCATTGTTTCAAACAAATAGTGTTTGGGAAAACTGCCGTTGACGTCTGGCTCATGGATAATAGAGATATAAAAATTCGATCTATTGCTATTCGAACATCACACAATTTTAGTTAATTATTATACAGTTCTTTATCGATATAACAAACCTTTCAAAGAGTTGATTTTGTAAGAGCAATACAAAGCCAATAGGAAAGAAAGAATCTAGATAAATGTTGTTTTTTTTTGTATCTTTATATATACGAAGCAAGTTTAATTCATTCTACAGAAATCGTTAAATAAAGAAACAGAAGATATCCACAATCATTTTAAATATTTACCAGTTTCTTAGATTCCCTGGTTACTCTTCAAAATTAGTTATTAAAAAAAAAAGTCTAAACTTTCCGAAGATACCTTTTCGGCTCAACACATGTGTATTGCAGACGTATTTTTAGTTACTTGTATACTTATTTCAATGCATATTTGTACCTATATTAGTGTCATTTATATATAAGTCTATAGTTTTTCCCAGTAATTGATTCTGAAAAGTAACCAGAAAATTTCGAAACCGGTAAATAAGAATTTTAAAGGACTATGCACGTTTTATTATACATATTTGTGTGTACATGTATGATTTCTGAAGTAGCTTTTAGTAGGCGAGTTGTTTCGCAGAAAAAATGCTATTGTACGTTTTATTTGAACTTTATTAATTATCTTTTCTATATAGGTTTTATAAAAACTTTCCTTTCGTGGAGAGCTTTTATTCCTCTGAGTCGTCTGACGTACAGTGCATACTTAATTCATCCTGTTATTATGTCAATGATTTATGGCGTACAAAACGTGCTGGTTGATGCAACTTTTAGCTACACGGTGAGAAAACAAAAACGTTTACTTCTTACAAGTCACATTAATTTCTGGAAATATTTGTTAAAAGTCAATGTTTGTAAAAGTAAACAACAATTCTTTCTTTGAAGTGTTCTCACGTTTTATCATCCGTCTGCCGTTGATGAAGATTCAAAGTTTATGTATGGCGAAATTTTGGATTTTTAAGCATATTTAAAGGGATTGGTTAAGACCAAATTTACATAGTCTGGGAAATATTTAATATTAATTCGAATATTGAAAATTAAGTTTACTTTTAAGCGTTTAATTGCAAAGCTACACAATGGACGATTTACGCTGGGCCCATCGTGGGTATCGAAACCCGATTCGTAGCGTTATAAACCTTAAGCTTACCACTAGGGCACCAGAAGGTTTAGACTATTAAGGCGAAAAAACACGGAATATAATTACTTTTTAAAAGAAAAAAAAAGAATTGAAATACTTTAATTTTTATTTTATATTTCATTGGTACAAGTTGTGTGAGACACTCAAGTGAGTGGTTTTGGTTTCTTCTTCATTGAAAGGTTTGTTGTTCGCAATCTACCGCATAGATAGAAATAAACAGTGTTTATGACCAATGTTATTAGAGGTTGAATTTCATTGTTAGAAAAAGGGTGTCAATAACCTATAAAAAAAAATCATTTAGATGAAGGGCAATAGCTACCAATGTTTTAAAAAATGGGTGAAAGGTTTAGGTGTAAGCACCATTCAAATGTTAAACAAATATAAATATTACTTACTTTGTGATCAAACTTCGTACTACATATTAATATTAATTCGAATATTGAAAATTAACCTATTAACAATATCCCTAAATACCCTTTACTTGTATTATAAGCTATCATCTTTATCTATTAAGAACCACGACACGGCTTTAACTGGAGTAAAGGCGTATTCTAGACTTAGTACAAATATCACTGAGGTATAGGGTAGGAGTATGTGGTATTTTCAATATGAACGACATATAATCTAAACGGTCAGTTCAGAGACCCAGAAGGCAATCCCTAACATAGAGCTGCCGAGCATGGAGGAGAGGGGGGTAACTAGTTAACAGATGTTTGCACACGTTGAAGATACTTCTTGATTATATTACACATTCTGGCACATGGACACCTTTTGCCACTGACCTTCGTGTTCGTCACTTTTTGCTTATCACAACTGGGGAGCCCCCCAGTAGCACAGCGGTATGTCTGCGGACTTACAACGCTAGAATCCGGGTTTTGATACCCGTGGTGGGCAGAGCACAGATAGCCCATTGTGTAGCTTTGTGCTTAACTTAAAAAAAAAAACAATAAAAACAAACACACAACTGGGGCACAGCTTATTGCAAGTCTCTGTCTAGATGATCCTGGTACCGCAAGTTAATCTTTATTCCTTTGTTTTCCAATGCTATTAAGTAAAATAAATATCACTGTCTTGAAAAATTCTAAATTCCCGATCTGAGTGCATGAATATTTTGAGTCGTAAAAAGCTGTTCATACCCTTATCAAAAGCGACTTTATATCAATTGTGGCTGTCACGTGGCTTGCTGCTTTGCATATTCAGTATCATTTTAATATAAAGTACTTAACCCTCTTTAAATCATGCAAATCGATTTGTTAAAGACTGGTCTCTCGATAAAAAACATTAGCCTATGTGGAAAAATTATGTATTCTGATCTGAATTTTAATTAATTTTCGTGGAAATTGTATTGGAAGATATTTTAAATTTCTGAAACTTAAACCTTTTGTTTTTATAATATAATCAAACTTTTAAAGAAAAATATTAGATAATTTGGATGTATAGCCTATTTGTGTAATATTTTTAGATAAACAGATAAAAGATACAGTATCCCTTAATCAGTTTCTGTTTATTATTAAAACATGGGTATTCTGCTCACATAAAAAGATGTCTTGTTAGAGATTTGTTATGAAACTTTCTAAATAAATATTAGTTCAAGGTAGATTTTCTAAATCTTATTCCGTTTCTTGAGCCCTAACAGTTATCAGTTTCGTAATAATTTCTGAATCAAATAAAAATTGTATAAAGAAAGACAATTGTGCTGTCGATACACATTGTATAAACTTCTGCCTATTATCCTGGTTTTAGACAATAATTCAGACTTATGATGAGTTTCTATTTTGACGAGTGTCGAAAGGTGATGGTGTATGACAAATTTACTCCAGACCTCTTGGAAGATGGTATATTATGACAAACGCATTCCAGAACACTTTGAGGGTGGTGTTGTATGACAAATTTACTCCAGACCTCTTGGAAGATGGTATATTATGACAAACGCATTCCAGACCTCTTGGAAGATGGTATATTATGACAAACGCATTCCAGAACACTTTGAGGGTGGTGTTGTATGACAAATTTACTCCAGACCTCTTGGAAGATGGTGTATTATGACAAACGCATTCCAGAACACTTTGAGGGTGGTGTTGTATGACAAATTTACTCCAGACCTCTTGGAAGATGGTATATTATGACAAACTCATTCCAGAACACTTTGAGGGTGGTGTTGTATGACAAATGTACTCAAACCTGTTGGAAGATGGGAATGTTATATGACAAACTTACGCTAAACATTGGAAATTCGTGTTTAATGACAAACTTGCTCCATACCAATTGAAAGATGGTGTTTTATGACAAACGTGCTCTAGAACTGTAGGAAGGTGGACTTGTGTGACTTACTCTAAACCTGTTGAAATGTGGGGGTGTATGCCAAACTTACCTCCAGACTTGTTGGAAGGTAGTCTTGTATAACAAACCCTCTTTACTTTATGCTAATCATACAAAGTCTAGACATCTTATATGTTGTATGCAACAAGGTTTAACTAATTTCTAGTTTTATATACGGAAGAACAGCTTAAGCTATTTTTAGCTGTGGCGTACCGGCTCATAGAATGGCTGAGTTTTCAAGTATAAGCTTTTGGCTCATAGCTCCGTCATCTATTGACCGATTTGAGAACTAATTACAGTTTTAGACTCGGAAGTTCAAACCCTTTGATGATTTATTTGACAAAGTTCAAGGTCTCATAGATTACTTTATTCTACTCAGTTTAAGGGTAGGCTGGTAGAGATCCTGATGAGTAATAAAATCGAATCGGGTATACGCGTGCCCCATGCATTGTGCACAAAAATATAGGGAATAAGAAGGAAAATAGGTCTCGTAGATTAATTTACTATAATCCTGCCTAAAATAATTTCAATTTCCGCGGCTATTGAGAATTCACTCTTGTTTTAAATAGTCTTATCCCACACACTGTGGTCTTGATTATGATACCTCTCGATAAACTGGAAGTTTGATAACTTACAATATACCAATTGTATTAGAAAAAAATATCCAGGATTTTTTTTTACAAATATGGAAAATTAAAAAGTTAAAAAAATAATTTGTCTGAAATATTAAATTTTTAATCTACACTCACACACCCACAAATAAACCATTTTTTTTTATAATTCGTCAAAGGCATAATAATATAATGATTTATTTGTCTCTTTCCAGATGTACCTGATCTTTGGAAACCTTCTCACAACCTTTATTTTAGCCTTTATATTGTCACTGATCTTTGAATTTCCTTTTGCTGGTCTGGAAAAAATCATTTTAAAGAGAAGAAAAGCGACTGAGAGGTCGTGAAACAATCAAAGTGGGTATATCGTGTTCACTTTGCAAGGATGCTGGGATGAACTACCATGATTACATTTATTATATTCCCAGCTGTATTGATGGGCATTAATGTGAAAAATAATAATCGTATGTATATGTAATAAATTTTATTCATTCCAATTTTGGAAATTGTGTCGTATATTTATAATCTTTGTCACTTATTATTGACCTCTTTTTTAGTCATCAAAATGATAGTTTCTTAGCCTTCCAGAAATTATCAGGTATTAACATCGATTTCCAGAGCTTACGTAAGCTTTAATACAGAGATTTCCAAAGAAACAAAAGTTTAACCACATCTTTAATTCCCACTCCCATTAAGATCCCAGTTGAAAACCTCCGAAAAAATAAAAGTTTAACCATGCGTCTAATTCATACCCCCATCAAGATCCAAACTGAAGACCTCCGAAGAAGCAAAAATTTAATTATGCGTCTCTAATTCATACCCCCATCAAGATCCAAACTGAAGACCTCCGAAGAAGCAAAAATTTAATTATGCGTCTAATTCACACTCCCATTAAGATCTAGACCGAAGATTTCCGAAGAAGCAAATGTTTAACAATATGTCAAAAGAAAAAGAAAATACACTCCTGTTTAGAAACTGAACGTTAACCATGTATCAAAATCGCTGTTTCTCCAGAAATATTTAAGTTCGTTTTAAACTTGAATAGCCCTCCAATGGCACAGCGGTATGTCTGCGGACTTGTACCGCTAGAAACCGAGTTTCTATACCCTCAAATCCTACTGGAGGATGCATGTACTCAGCAGGAGTGGAAAACTTCCTTGCGCTTCTCATAAAGCCCTTCGTGCAGCTTTGTGTTTAACTACAAACAAACAAATAAACTCGAAGAATACACAAGTTCTGAACGCATTAAAGCAAACAACTGATTATTTGTCATCATAAAGAACCCGCTGTATAGATTTGTATACAGAACTTCTTGCAGCAGTGAGAAATAAGTTAACAGAGCTTATTCACAAGTTCTGTGACTGATGATTTGGGTAAATGTTGAAACATTCTAACGGGTGAATGCTTTACAAGCTGAAGTTTTATAATGGTATATTCATACTTTTTTAGAAAAAAACAAATTACAAAGTTTGCTTAACAAACAAACAAAAACATTATTTTATCATTTTGAAAAATAACAGATAGTTAAACTTAATATCTTGCATGGATAAATCTAGCCTTTACGATAACAATCACACACTACACAAGGGTAGAAGCTATTATTAATTCCGTGGAAGTTAGCAGTTATTATCCGACCCTCAAATTCTACTAGAACATGCACGCAGTCAGTAGAAGTGGGAAACTTCTATATGCTTTTCATAAAGGTAGTGAATTATACGAAAGAAAAATAGGTGTAGTCCCTTCCTCCAGTTACCAATCGTAACAAACATGACAATACGAGAAGCTCCCAGTTACCAATCGTAACAAACATGACAATACGAGAAGCTCTTATGTTTAACAAAGGTGTTGTGAGTACGCCAATCATATTCCAGAAACACTAATACTTAATCAACATGATACACGATACCCCAGTATATTAATCAAAGACCAAACTTTACTAGAAATTTTGATCCCAAATCAAAACTGATAACATATAAACCAATAACGCGGAGATAGACGACCATGCCATGTATGTTTAGTATCTAGGTTAATAAATATCAGTCATTACTTTTTGACAACTGACAATTACTCAACGTATGGTAATAATTATGATAGAAAAGACAGGATTTGTAAACATAACACATTTAACGTGGCATTTATGCATTATGTATATACACACACACAGTAATAGTAACTAGTTACATGGTTACAGTTAGCACTGAAATGATGTATTAGTTCTTAGCGGACATAATCAACAATTGCCAGAAATAAACACCTACACTCGGATCATCAGCAGTTAGATATACGGAAACAAAGAAGTACACTCAAACCATAGGTGATTAGATATACAGAACAAATAACTACGTTAAAACAATCAGTAACCAGATATACCAACCTGATTCAAATATTCCGATTATATTTTCAGCCATATTTAAATAATCATCACAAAACCTCCAACAAAGACTTATTCATAATCACCAAACATGATTCTCGACTCAAACATTTAACTACCATAAAAAACACGCATCATTATCAGTTGATTTCTTAACTCACAAACTATAAATAAACAGTACTAAGCATGTGAACTGAAATAAACAAACGGTATTAAGCATGTGAGCTGAAATAAACAAATAGTATTAAGCATGTGAACTGAAATAAACAAACAATAGTAAGCATCGTAACAGGAATAAACAAACAGTACTAAGCATGTGAACTGAAATAAACAAACAGTACTAAGCATGTGAACTGAAATAAACAAACAGTAGTAAGCATGTGAACTGAAATAAACAAACGGTAGTAAGCATCGCAACAGGAATAAACAAACAATAGTAGGCAAAAAAGTAGGAATAAACAAACAGCAGTCGACATCGTGTTTATTTTTTATGTTACCACGTATCAGATGTTGAAGTCTGAAAATTTTCTTATTCGCACCAGTAAGAAATTTTCGTATTTTTGTATTGTTGAAAGTTTTGTTTTTATAGATTTAAAAATGTCCAGTTAAAACGTCATTGAAATTCCGGTAAAAATTTGGTTGAACTTTTTTTCTTTTTTCCGGGTTATTTTTACCTCCACTTCAAGCCTGCTGCCTTTGTATTTTTTATAATCTAGGGAGATTTTGTGGTTTTGAAAATCGTAATGAAATAGTAATCTTTAAACCAACAGACTGTCATTTTGGATTCAGGTCAATGAATGAGCAAATGTAAAATTTACTACTGAAGCTACACTAGCAAAAAACACTAATTATTAATGTTTCTATTCAAACGTAAAAAAAATTTTTTTCAAGTGAAGGAAAGAGTGACATTTGTTTAACTGGATCACACAATGGTATATTTTACGTGTTACCTGCTGTATATAGATATACTAATTTTGTAAGATCTGATTTTTCAAAAATCGTAACTTTAGTCGATAAATAACACGCATTCTTTGTAAGTGTTTTCGACAGCGTTGTTTACCCTGTTTTATCAAATAACTTTCCTTTTTATCATCATGAACATAATTAGCAAATTAATACCTAGCCGAGCTAAAACTATTAACAGATTTGTTTCTTTCAAGTTAAGCACAAAGCTACACAATGTGCTATCTCTGCTGTGCCTACCACGGGTATCGAAACCCGGGTTCTAGCGTTTATAATAGGCAACTAAATGGTACTAGTATAGAATTAAAATAGATTTGTTCGACTTTTAACAAATATTTAATTCTAAAAACGAGAGTCGATTGTACAGAAATTAGTGGCTGTTTTGTTCATCACGATATCTGCCAAACAATAAAAAAATACTAAAATTACTTTCAACGATAATTGAATATTAGAACTTTTGACCAACACAACTTTTATATTCACCTGTTCATATCTTGCAGAGAATTTTATATTTGAACATGAGCTCCCCCGTATATGACAAGCAAGATCTTGGTGAAAGTTCATTGCCTTTTGTAAAGTATTTTATCTATAAAAGACTTATTTCAGGGAAGGAAAAGCTAGTCCAAAAATACTGAGAGAATGTCCGAAAGTCATGCTTAACTAGTTTTATTGCAAGTACCATGTTGGAAGGTGCAATGTTGAAATGCAAACATTGTGGATGCAGTCATGATGGCGTCGTTGTTGAACTAAAAACTTCAGAATCGAATTAAAAGAGGACAAAACTCCGAGGCAGAAGGAATATAAGAATGATATACTTTTCTCTTTTTAACCATTTTCATTGTCTTCGACTGATCAGACGTCAACCAACGAATGTCATAAAAAATAGTTGAAAAACGTATATTGTTGTTTATATTAAGTGCGGAAAGTGCGTTAGATGCCATGAACCTGCTGAAAACCATTCTTACAGTACAAATCAAGGTCCAAAGGGAATGACCCTGAGTAAAAGTAGCTTTGTTTTTCATCAACACCAAACAGCATTTGGGTAGTTTCATTACGGTTTTAAAAGTAAGGAATCGAACCCTAGACTTATATCATTTTTTATGAGAAATTGGTCTAGAGAATTTTTTCTTGTTCAACATTGTCACTAAAACATGGCAATTTCTGTACAAAGGACTTACGATTTTAGGGTTAAAAGTCAAAATTAAATGAAGTTTAATAGATGAGAATGAGTATAATAGCATGGAAACTGTCGAAGTGTATAAAGATGGGCGTGGCAGATAATATTGTCTGTTAAAAATGTATATCAACAATAAAACGTTGCATGAGACTGTCAGGTCAAAATGCCATCTTATACAGATATCAACCCCATCCAACGAGAGTTTGATTAGGGGACGAATTCATCTCTGGCAGATAAAGGTATTCTACCAAAACATTAAGATTAAATACATGTCAAGCACTGCAATTACAATGTTAGACTACTAGCGTTATTTTGTAACAAAATAAAAAATGACCTGCAACAATTTACATAACTATAGAAATTGGTACAAACATTTAAACATAAATTGAAGTTGAAGATTAGAGTGACTGTAAAATAGCTCTTGGAAACAACGGTCTTTACACACATTTTTAGCTGGTTCTACGAAATGTATGGTATTTTTCTTCCTTCATTGTTAACGATAAAATCGTACTTTACGTGGCAGGACGCAAAGCTCTCCAGTATTTTTCCCAGTTTAGCGCTAGAGCTTCGCAAAATATTTTCTCAGTATTTGGTAAAGTTAACAAGTTTTCCCTACCAATTCGGATTTTTTTTTTACTCTCCTCATACCACCTCTGATTGTAGCGTTTCTCTAGGTGATTCCAAAAACCAGAATAAAGCCTCTCTAGAAGATAGCAAACTAGTAAGAATTTAAAGCATTCTGTGAGTGAGAAAAATAATTTCTTCTTAGTCATGAATGAAAACTCCTGCTTGCTAAACTTTCCTGGATTTATACATAAAATAATCCCTTTCTAGGCGGAGCTTGCGGCTTTATTAGTGAAAAAACAAACAATTTATATGAATTTTTGAATATGAAATATTCCACTTGATCGATCCAGTTATTTTTTCGTTTGGGGTCTAACAAATGATAAGATTACTATAAATACTGTATTACATTATAC